CCCCACCGCCCGTCGGCCAGGCCAGCGGGGGAGTAGCCCGCTCCGATCCCCGCCCTTTCTCGGGGGCCCGCGGGGCAATGCCCAGCTCCCGCAACAGTGGAGGGAGGACCCGCCGGAGGATCTCATCTAGCATTGGGCCCTCCACGGCCCGGCCGTCCGCCCAGGGCTGCCAGATTCTGGCTTGAGCAACCACTTCGTAGCGCGTGGTGGGGGTAGCCGCCGGTAGCTATAGCTATGACGCACCGCGCTCGGCTAAAGTCGGGCGGTACAAGATAGAAAGAGAACCCAAGCGGTATAAGCTAGAAGAGTACCGACTATCTGTAACTTATCCTCCGCGTATCGTGCTTGGTCCAAGCGGCTGAAAAGGTTTTCTCGACAATTTCGGCCGCTCGGCAATTGGCGTGTATCGATGTGGAGCAAAGTCATTCTACACTTTTTAATAAATTGTAGTAATAGTATATTTTTCTTATTAACCTAGAATAATATAAATTACGTAAAAATGCGATACTTTACGAGATTGTAATTATTAATAATTGTCCATGGGCGCTATATACCGTGTTCGTAAACGTGATCTGCAAGAGTAAACGTATTAGGCAAAAAAAGAAAAGCATTTTTCCGTATTAATTATTAAAATTATTTGCGTATGTATTTTTAAACCAACAAAACTGTAGGAAAAATACCGATTCGCTTTTCAATAGACTAACAAAAGTTATTTTAACACAACATAATATAAAGGCTTCTTATTTGTACTAATAAAAATATATTGGTGTCTAATAAAAATATATTTGTACTAATAAAATTATATTGGTGTCATCTTAGATACAATTATATATGTAAAGATGATACCAAATTTGAAAACAAATTTCATTTGCTTTAAAAAATCTCGATCTTTCATCGAATAAGTTTGATTCGCATACCATGCATGTCGAATCATTCTTTTTACTGTTGCTTTAAACGAATAATTTCAATAATTATGTCAAAATATAGTTTCAGCCGATACGTTTACCACTAATTAACTTAATTATTTATTTATGATGAAACTATGAAAAAAGCAAAGTTTGAACGCTAACATCTACAATAAGTACATTAGTAATAAATCAAAAGTCAGAAGCTAGAAATCGATCAGTTATAGTCGATTATTATTTTCACATTCGACGGTGGTTGGTGAGTTTCTAGCATCTGACTTTTGGTTTATTATTGATGTAGTTTTTATGGAATGTGTGTAACGGATTAATTACGTTTCAGTTTTTAAAACGCGATATAAAGCGGCGTCTACCACGAGATTTTAAAGCATACAACTTAAGCTTTAAACCCTAAGCCATAAAGAAATAGACCAATCAGTCGATTATTCTCCTTACATCCGATTCGACGCGCGAATGTAAATCCTCGACTTTATGGAAAATATATTGTACAATGGAAGAAATATTAAGAACAGGAATAAACATTAAATATTAGAAATAAAATATTGTGAATACAGATTAAACGTTGCGTACTGTTTGTGTCCCACATCTCAATCATTTGTATCCATTATGAATTACGTTTAATCTCTATTCATAATTCTCTTATGCATAATGTGTCATATTCATTCTTGATATTTCTTCCATTATGCATGGGATCTTACTATCGATCTACAAATTCCTTTATATCAATGTAAAATTTGTTTGTACAATATTTTTCTATATATTTTTCTACAATTCTATAAATATAGTAAAGAAAGACTTATAAGAATATGGT